GTGTTACTATGCATGATGACCTAAGGTGCTATACTCCATACAGGTGGAGCAGTCCGACGTGTTGAGTGATATTGTAAGAAGGATATCCAAAATCATCATTGTTCTTCTGAGGAAGGCCAACTCACTTGTATTTTTTTGTGACAGTATGTTTTATAAGGAATAAATTAGTTAAGACATGTTATGGTTACACCCTTCTTTCCCCTTATCGATCTGGTCAATGAAAAACCCGATTATACACGTAAAATAATTGTTAACATAAGAACATAAGAATGGAGGAAACTGCAGCGGGCCTATTGACCCATACTGGGCAGTCCCGTTTATACCCAACCCCTATTGCTCGAATAAGCATCCAACCTGTGTTTGAAGCTATCCAGCGTATTTGAGTTAATGATGATATTTGGTAACTTGTTCCATTCATCCACTACTCTGTTTCCAAACCAGTGTTTACCTATTTCACACTGAAATCTAAATTTGTCTAATTTAAAACCATTGTTACGAGTTCGCTCCTGGTTGAATAGTTTGAGTACACTTTGTAATGTCCCCTTTGTTAACCCTGACTTCCATTTATACACCTCAATCATGTCGCCCATCACTCTACGTCTCTCAAGGGAGTGCAAATTAAGATGCTTTAACCTGTCTCTGTACTCAAGGTTCCTAATGCCCGGGATTAGTCTTGTCATTCTCCTCTGGATTCTTTCCAAGGATTCTATATCCATTCTGTAATACAGTGACCAGAACTGAACTGCGTAATCCAGGTGAGGTCTCACAAGCGCTAGATATAATTTTAAGATGACCTCGCTAGTCTTGTAACTAACACTCCTTTGTATGAACCCAAGTACTTTATTAGCCTTGTTACGAGCAAAAACACATTGTTTACTTGGCTTAAGATTCCTACTTATCATTACTCCTAAATCTCTCTTGCAGTCGGATTCCACAGTGGCATCGTTGTTCATCTGATAACTGGTTTCCCTGTTTACATCTCCTATACTGAGTACTTTACATTTGTCCACATTGAATTTCATCTGCCATTTTTCCGACCATTCGAAAAATTTGTTTAAATCTTCCTGTAGTTTTGCAGAGTCTTCGTCATATTTAATTACACGTCCTATTTTAGTGATCTAGAGCGTTAAGGTTAAGAATGGGGGTAGTAGTGATAGGGGGCAATAATGTGAAAAAAGTAGTAGTAATTATAGTACAGTGGTGTGGCAATGGGAAGGGATGTGGTAGTAGAGGGGTGTGGGAGTAGAGGGGTGTGGTAGTAGAGGGGTGTGGTAGTAGAGGAGTGTGGTAGTAGAGGGGTGTGGGAGTAGAGGGGTGTGGGAGTAGAGGGGTGTGGGAGTAGAGGGGTGTGGTAGTAGAGGGGTGTGGTAGTAGAGGAGTGTGGTAGTAGAGGGATGTGGTAGTAGAGGGGTGTGGGAGTAGAGGGGTGTGGTTATGTTGCTGTCTATGCCGATATCTATGTCGTTTATGTATATAATAAATAATAATGGTCCAAGTACTGAGCCTTGGGGACCTCCACTAGTGACATTGCTCCAATGCGATTTAGTGCCGTTTATGCTCACTGCTGTTTCTTGTCCCGTAACCATGCCCTAATCCATTTAAGGATATTATCTTTGATGCCATGCGCTTCTACCTTTCTAACTAGTCTTTCGTGGGGGACTCTGTCGAAGGCTTTGCTAAAATCGAGATATACCACATCATAATTGTGCCCCTCGTCCACCAATTCGAAAGCTGATGAAAAGAATGTTAATAGATTAGTTAGACATGAATGCCCGCTTGTGAAGCCATGTTGGGAATCATTGATCAACTTGTGCTTCTCCATGCGGTTTTGAATAGTTTGAAATGATTGATAATAGTAATTTGCCTACTCTTGATGTTAAACTGATTGGGCAGTAGTTAGAGGATAATGATCTATCCCCCTTCTTGAATATCGGTATTACATTCGCTATCCTCCAGGATTCTGGTACTACACCTGTTTTTAATGACATGTTAAACAACTTTGCTAAGGGCACACTAAGCTCTTCCTTACATTCCTTTAATACTATGGCAAATATCTCATCGGGACCAGGTGACTTATTAGGCTTCAGTTTGTCTATTTGCTTATTAACATCGTTACTAGTCACTACTATCTCGCTTAATTTGTTTTCTTCACTATCTCTGAATAGAGTCGGTGCCTCGGGTATCATGTTTAAATTTTCGGTGGTGAAAACTGTTGAAAAATATTTATTCAGATTATTGCTCATTTCTCCGTTGTTATCAGTTAGTTCGCCGGTATCTGAATGTATTGGTCCAATCTTATCTTGTGTTTTAGTTTGATACATTTGGTAGAATCCTTTGGGGTTTGTCTTTGCCTCCCTTGCTGTCTTCAGTTCATTATTCCTCTTTGCTTTTCTTATCTCGGTCTTAACCCTACCGGCCAATACCTTATAATACTCCCGGAGGTAAATTTCGCCACGGTTTATCCTTCTACCTATAGCCTTCCTTTGGCCAATAATGTTCTTTAAATAATTATTTATCCATTTAGGGTCATTGTTGTCTGATCTGAGTTTTTTGTATGGTATGTTCTGCCTTTGTGCATTAAGTAACTCATTATTTAAATTGTCGTGGAACTCGACAATCTCATATCTCGTTATCAGGTCGGTGTCATCTGTCAGGTTCATGCCCAAGCGCCACACCCCCTCTCTCAGCTGCCTCTTTAAACTATCAAAGTTTGCTCTTCTGAAATCTGGGACTTTAATAGAATTTTCCTTATGTCTGACCTGAAAATCTAACTGGAATCTAATTTCTTTGTGATCGCTGTTTGCAAGTTCATTCCCTACCTCGACATTGCTAGTGAGGTTTTCTCTGTTCGCCAGAACTAAATCGAGTATAATATTACCCCGGGTGGGTTCGGTTATATGTTGACTTAGGAAACAGTCCTGGATTGTTTCGAGGAAATCCTCTGATACTGAGTTACCCGTAAGGTCAGTCCAATCTATTTGGCCAAGGTTAAAATTGCCTACTATACAGACTTTGTTGTGTATGGTAGCCCTGCGCTTTTCATCCCAGAAAAGTCGCTCATTAACTCTATCATGGTTGGGAGGTCTATATATTACTCCTATGATTAATTTTTCCCTACCGTCGATTAATTCTTTCCAAATTGTTTCTGTATTCTGCTGTTTTTATTTCCTTATTTTTTTCACACCACAGATTATCCCCCACATAGATTGCTACTCCGCCTCCTTTCCTGGTCTGCCTATCGGATGGAACAATTTGTAACCCGCAATTTGGTATTCGACCGGTAACTCACGTGAGTCTAGGTTGATCCATGTTTCAGTGAATGCTATTATATCGATTTTTTCGGTACATACCAAGGCCCTAATATCATCCATTTTGTTTCTCATACTTCTACTGTTCGAGTAGTAGACATTTAAGTTAGTCGTGTTCCGAGTCCTCTCTTTACCGAGTTTAGGCTTTAACTCCCTGTCTAATTTAGTTTTGTCATCATTCCTAACACTATTTCCCTGTAATCTTTCACTTTGTTTACCCACTCCCACTGCAGTCTCCTCCACCCACGTGCCCATACAACCATAAAAAAAGTAAAAAAAATAGTCCCCCCGAATAATAGTTCCATTATCTTTCCCGGCAACAGAGCAAATGGACGTAAATAAACAGTTTTAGGAATTAATTTAATTGTGGGTCTTAAATGACTTTTTTGTTGTTTAAACTCGGAAATTTTCCTGTGAAGAGTTGAAAATACCAGTCTTTATTGTAAAACAGCCCCATTCGTGCCTGTATCATATTCTTTTGTTTTAAAAAATATTTATTTAATCAAACTTTTAGATAAAGAATTCAGGATTATATTTGGGTAGAAAATGGTGTTGGCAGTTATCAAACAGGGAGGTACTACCGCCTGGGAATATATTGGAAGCCTCTTGTGGTCTAGTGATAGACCCTGCTGCCATATGGCATCAAAAAATTTTGACCAATTCCCAGGTTGCTGATCTGACTTTCTGCCTCATTACACACAATTGCAGGGTTTCAATTGTTGCTCTTACTACTGACAACACAATATATATATATATATATATATATATATATATATATATATATATATATATATATATATATATATATATATATATATATATATATATATATATATATATATATATATATATATATATATATATATATATCTCACTATTGATCTTTTTTTTTTTTATATGTATTTATGGTTATTATTTGCCCCAGGCCCTGATGTTGAGGGGGTCATATGCCTACTGTAACCTGGTGGTCAAGCAGAGGGGTGTCAGGGTTGAGAATGAAATGATCAATAGATTGTCCTAAGTGGACGATGTACGTCTTATGGTGGAAAATCAAGCCAATCTGCAAGTAAAATATTGATAACACCCAACAATGAAGTGGACACACAAAAATAAAGATCTGTAAGTTGAGGTGTAGCTGCTCCAAGACCCCTATTGAGATCAAAATTGTTGTTCAAGTAGGGCAAAGTAATGCATAACTTACAAAGAGTAATTTTGCCTGGAAGAGTAAGACCCAAACACTGAAGAAAAACTGCATGTCTAAGATGGACAGAGCATGTGCTGAGAGCAGCTGATAAATAAACTTTAAAATGCTTAAGGGAATGGATACCATAAATCAAAGACCCTGAGGAAGGCTGATGCCCATAAACTAGATGGACTGTTGTGGTCACCAAGGATCTCAACCCTTTGCCAAAATATCCTGCAACTGGTGCAATATGGAGGATCCAAGCTCACTAGACAGTCAAATCCCACAACTTTTGCATTGTATTTTCTGCAAGCCTAATTTAAATTCCGTGCTCTATTTTTGCACATGAGATTGGACTGATTCTTTGTTTACTCCCCCGATCCACCTTTTGTTCCTTTTGGAAATTCACCCATCCAATGGGTAATGACCACATTTTGCCATCACTATCCTTAAAGGCCTGCAGTGCCAGGTGAGTAAAACATAAATACCTCATCTGAGAGGCATTAAGCTATTGCTCGAAGTATTCTTTATTAACTTTGCATATAACAAACTATTTTTCCTTGCTGGAAATTACCAGAGGGATAAACAATACAAACAAGTGTATTACATCAATTATAATATTGTACATGAATGATCAAGTTGCAAGAATCACACAATACCAAAATATTATATACAGTAGAAACAAATTTTTATACACCCAAGTTTACAAGGGATTAGAAGGTTTTTATGATACAAGTATAATACAAACACTGTATTAATACTTATGTCTTTATTACCCTGGCATTCATGGCAGGGCAACTAACCTTATGATTAGATGTATTAAATTAAAAATGATTCAATCTCCCCATTACAACCATATCCATTGTAAAAAAAAAAAAAAAAAAAAAACAGTTGCAGTTGAGGACACCTTCCCATTTAACTGTCAAACTTTACCATCTGACCCACCATTAAATTGTCCAACTTCCATGACTTTTTTTTCATTACTAGGTGTGATAATATAGAAACATATGCCTGTAATTTTTTCCCCTTGCTGGGATAGGGACGGTAGCAGTGAAGAATTATCATGAAAGTGATGTAGCACGTAGGAGAGATGGGGTAGGGGGAGTGGTAGGGAAGGTAGGGGGTAAGGGGAGTAGTGAGGAGGGTAGGAGGGGATAGCCACTCTGTTTTGTTTTTTCAGTTTATTGGCAAGAGAGGAGGGGATGGAAGGAAGGACAGAGAAGAGGATGTGGTGGTGTAAGGGAAGGGAGACAACAGGGGAGAGGTAGGTGCTATTAGTCATCATAAGGAAGGGATTGAATATATACAGTGAGCTCCATCCCACACCAATGCAGTAGCATGCAAGTCACGGGGGAGGTATGACACCATCATTGGCGTCACCACATTGTTCCACTGGCGCTTCCATAACACTGGTGTCAGGATCACCGTACAGAAGGGGTTAAAAATCAGGAAAAGGTTTGAAAGCAAGTAAAATTTCTGAAGCACGTCGATTTAGCATTGTTCTATTCTTACCCTTTATCCCTGTCTCTTTTTGATAAGTCAGGTACCTGTAGCTGAGCTGGAGTTATTGCTCCACAATAAAGGTGCAGTATTGCCTTACAAAAATCATTTATGGAGGACTGAGCCTGAAATTTCCTTTGATGGCAAAGTCTGCACCTGGAAGTTTCAAGACACCCTCCCTCCTCCCTTTGGGTAGCAAAGTTAGCTGACACTAAATGATGGGTAGCACCTGAAATCCAAGATGGCAAAACCTGACAGTTGAATGTAAAGTGCCTGTGTAATGATGACACCACAGGCTCATCAGACCTCTGCCTTCAATAGCAACCTTTGCTTCTGTTCCCTCTTTTAAACGAAGATGGTTGTATTGGAGAGTTTATGTTATTGTCAGGTTAGCTGCAGCTAAGCATAAGGTAATTTGCTTGGTCGCCAATGCCACGGTGCCCAGCCCAAAGGCACTGTGTACATATTACATGAACTACCTAGCTACAAGCTCCATTTATCATCCAGGTCTCCAAAGAAATACTGTACAGTATACAAAGATGATATATTTATATTAAAATTTCACGACTTTACAATTATTTGTCTTGTCTACTGATACCTTACCACCCATTTCAGTATCTGGCTCCTCAAAATCCAAAGCTTCTATAGCTGTTCCATCTATTCGGTTCATCTTGATGTTTGATTCTTCATGTTCCTTCTATGAGAGAAAAAAAATCAATTTGGTAAATTTGCATTAACCAACTAGGTATTCAAATACTGTACAAAACTTTAGGAGAAACCAATGGTATGTCATAATTTCAAGAGAGAATCTTCAGTATTTATATATTTATGCTTCTTTTCTCTTGGCTAACAATGCACATAATATCTGTCTGGTGGATACAAGAGTTGTCAAGAAATTATTATCACTAGAGCCAAATTATAATAAACTTACAAACGGCACATATACTGTACAATCATCCAACGAGCTGAGCGAGTGACTGACCACTGATCCGGTGGGCTGGACGCCGTTGTAGTAAAATGGTATATTAACAAACTCCCGAGCCAAATTTCTTGGTATCTAACTTTTTTCTGGCATTCTTCATATTTTTGCAGGTAAAAGGCTTCAAGACAGGTAGCACCAGTAAAAGAGCTATATCACAATCCCGTGCTTGAAAGTCAAAGAAGATGGTGCAGGAAAAAAAAGGACAGCCAGTCCGAGGTGATACAGCAACACGAATTGATAACACTTACTTCTAGTGCAGATATTCTGCATATGGCTAATTTCCTTGTTCAGAAGTTATTTTATTTTTAGAACAATATGAAAGGCATTTATTACTAAAAAAAATTTATTAGTTAAATAAGTTCTGATAGACATTAGCAATTCAACCAAGTTTTACTTTTATTTCATTTATAACGAATGACTGTTGAACGGGAATCTTTAATGTTTTATTCTTGGGTCCTAAATAATAGAATACCTACAGAGTATACAGGTATATAAAATGACAATTTTATTATAATTATTTGGGAAAGGTATCAAGAAATGTTTATTTAAACATTTAGTTAGTCTAAACCTCAAAATTTTGTTTTCTGAAGGTTTCCTGCCTTATGACGAATATCTCTGAAACTGGGACACTCCACCAGGAGGTGTCGAACAGTCAATGAGACCAGGCAGTCATCACAATGGGGAGGGGGCACCTTATTTTTTTTATCTTGTTTGCACATTCTGTATGAACAAATGTGTGTGCATGTAAAGGAATAAAAGAAAATGAAGAAAATTACGGATACAGTATCTTGCCAAAATTACGAGTTGAACAATAACATACAGTAGTTCACAGCTGAGCCTCACCCGATCTGAGTGCTACTGGGTGGCGATAATTACGTGCCGTCTCCATGGATATTATTCCTCATTAACCTTTGTTTAGGATTTATCTCGTTTCTGTTCATTTGGCAATCATTTCACTTAGCAATCTGTTTTTCAGGAATGTATCCTGATCACTAAACAATAGATATCTGTATAGGAAACAAAGAAAGATAGTCACGGTTGGTAGAGATATTTTGAGCCAGATGACAACATAAAGAGACGATTCAAGTTTCATGAGTCGACCTACAGGTGTATGTGTATTGCAATAGGCACATACACCTCCCTTAGAATGGAAAGAGGTTTATACCTCTTTCCATTAGAGTTGGAGACTTGAAAAGGTTTGGGTGAAGCTACCTTGGACAGTTGAAGTTCAGACAGTAGTAAGAGATCGAGGAAAGAGGTTAATATATGTTCCACAGAAGAAAAAATATATCTCAAGCCGCAAATGTTGTAAAAATGTGTGTGAAGGAAGTCGATTCTCCAGCAACTGTGGTGACGTTAGTTAAGGCCCCAGTAGTTTGATGACAGTTGAATTGGCCCTGGGGTCCACAGCCTTCCCGACCGGTGAGACCCATCCAAGAAGGCCCCGTTTTAATAATACTGAATTTTGAACTGACACCATAAATAAATAAATAGAAAAATACAACAAATCAAGATTGAAAAAATTTAAGTTGTCAAAGTATTATAAACAATTGTGACCCTGCAACTGTGTAAATGAGGAAGAAAGTCAGATCAGTAACCTAGGACTTGGTCACAATTTTTGTGATGCCAAATAACAGCAGGTTCTATCATTAGACAACACATTATGTTTCCAATATCTTTTAAGGCAGTAATACCTCTCTGTTTGATAGCTGCCTACGACCTACTTGAGTGAGCTGAAATGAGAATGGGTGAGGTGGATGAGCAATGTGACATTGAAAGACAGGAAGCTCTGTTTTAAGCTAGGAGGGTGGCAGGGTACTAAAATTATTGGCAAAGTTTTGCATAGAGATAAGCTGAGATGGTTTGGGCATGTGGAGAGAATGGATGAGGCCAACTGGGTCAAGAGATGCATGAGCCTAAATGTGAAAGGGAGACCCAGGAGCAGGCAAAGACTGACATGGGAAAAAGTTGTAAGAAATTACATTTAGAGTTAAGAACTTAACGAGAGAGGCTGCCATCAGGCAACCACAGATAACCCACACAACTGTGGAAAATGACAGTAAACCAATGATGGTGATGATGAGTGATGTGCACACAAAGGAGGACCATTAAAGGTTTCAGTTATAGCAACAGCTCTTACCTGTTCTACTGAGGTGTAGAATGCTATACACTGATAGTACTGCTTAAACAAAATGAACTCACAAAGTTTGTATAAAAAAGATGAGTAATCACACAAAAGTATACTAACCTGCAAGTCTGGACAATCTTTCACAAAATGTTCTACTGATCCACAACCTCTGCAAGCCCCTCCATTTGGGTAGAGTCCTCGGGGATTGTCAGGGCACTCTCGGGATATGTGTCCCATATCTCCGCAGATGAAGCACTTTGCATGGGGATAGACCGAACCTTTCCGTTTCACTGAGCATTCTCGAGATGTGTGCTCTGTTGATCCACACTGAGAAGAAAGTCATTAATTATTAAAGTCATAAGTTTCCAAAGATAAATAAATTATCATATCAGAAAGAACTTACATTAGTAAACTGCAAAGCAAAATGTTAGAAATGGAGATCTTCTCCACAACCCAAAAACTAAGTGTACCAAGGTGCAATGATTGTGAAGAAAATTTTTTTAAGTCTGGTGCTCAGGCCACCCACCACCAGCATACTGTACTTGTACAGTCTCAGAAAGGCCATTAAGTGTACTATGTAAGACAAAAAAATCTTATTATAGAGTACAGTACTGTAAGTGCCAATACCTACCGGGTAAACCTAATTTTCATATTATTATGACAATTTTTTAACCATCATATATAGAAAACAGGCTGCAAGTTCTGATGTTGTTAGTAATATCTTCATCAGCTGGATTCCCTTTTAACCGGAATTCTCCGATAGCCGGAACTGAAGTTTGCTTGGAATTTGGAAAGATTTTCTGAGGGGTGCATTTTCTGGAAATTCAGAGAATATTTTCCCGGTAGTACAGTACCTGGCAAATTCCGGGTCGGGGATTTTTTTCCTTGGTTTGAGAGATGAAAGTCGGGTGTAATTTCTGGAAATGACGAGAAAAATTCCAGGGACGGGGAATTTTTTTCAGGGCTTGAGAGATGAGAGGTCATACCTGCCATTAAATATCTCATCTCATTCCTGCAACTAGTGGGAGAAGAAAAGACCGAAAAACAATGGAAAGGCAATGATCAAAGACATGACGGCTCAAGAGTGAGAGAATTATCCAAAAAGGCAAGTAATATTTGATAACCTCAAGCAGTTTTGACCATGTCTTGTCAGTTAATAGAGCACTTAAAAATCCTACATATACTGTAATGCCAAGTTCATACTCTGTAAAAGTGAGTTAGGAATAGGAAGGGCAACTAACCATTAAACCTGCTTCAAATCTACCTGATGGCAACTAGGACACCAAGCCATAAGGTAATTCTGATTAACTTCTGCAAGTGTGGAAAATGGTGGTGAAAATGATGATCCTGCCTCTGAAGTGGGACATACAATGAATCTACCATACCATGGCCTATCTCTGACAGCAATCAACTAGGAAAAACAGCCTTAAACAACAAGTACGGGAAATATCCACCTAAAAGGCCTACTTCCCAAAATACCATCAGATTCCAAGATATTGTATTCCGAAAAACCAGAAGAATTCCTGCTTAAAGAGGCAGATTGAACACATAGAAGAATGATGACACATCACAACCAGCACTCCAATATCTGATTCCCCTGTACAGTACAGCACTTAGTCCCTAGTAATGTCACCCCAATCTTGCTTACACAGCACACTTCATGGGGATCAGAGCCAGTACTACAGAATGAAATTCTGACTCACAAAGAGACCTAAGTGTCCTATTAGTTATACTCGTATATTACCAGCTGTAATAATAATCATAAATTGTAAGAGGAAAGCCATTGTGGTTACTTACTGTATAGCAAATAGCTAACTGCCCTTCCTTTGTGTCTTCTGATACTTCTGGACAAGCAGAGACCATATGACCTGGTTTGCGACATTTCAAGCACAGCAATTTCCTTTCATTTTTCAAAAATCGTTCCTCTTTGCGGCGCTCTTTTCGTAGAATCATCTGCAACTCTTCCTCAGATACACCTTCTGAAGTTAGCTGTGCTGTAATATAAAAGTAATAAGTCCCAACTTTAATGTAAGCTTAAGTAACCACCCTACCAAAATAAGGTTTCATAGCTCAGTAAGAGTTGCTAAGAATGCATGAGATTATACCCTTAAATTCCATTTAAAAAACCTGACAATGACTAGATGTAGTGTAGTATTTCACAGTAGGCACAGTGCCTTTGATTTTCTAAAACAACCATTGTCAGGTTGATGAATGAGTATAAACTTCTCTGCTAACAATGTGAAGATTCAAACCCTGTAGATGCTTCAAAATGCTGAATAAAGATGGATTGTGAGTCTAAAACTCTTCATTATTTCTTAGTTTTTAAGTGACCAGATAGGATTTTAAAACCAAATCTTCAGTTCCTGCCACCTACCAACACACACCGTGTACTACTAAGTATTTACTGCCTGTCGTTTGATCGTTGTCTTCCGTGCTTCCCTGTTATCAGTGCATACACTATAGCTGTGCATCACTTTTATTGTTGTGACTATTATGGGTTATTAAGTACATGGACTGTTCATATACCCTGTACGGCTGTGATATTGTGTAAAGTGAGTGAACTTTGTGATAATGCCAGGTAAGCGTGCTACTGTTTCACCTCCTTACTTAGGCAAGACCAAGCACTCTCTGCGAGTCCTTGAGCTTGGAGGTGAAGCTTGACATTATATGGCATGAGAAAGTACTTGGCCTTGCACAGTCAATGAAGTCCACCATTCTTAAGAAGGCACCTGCACTGAAGACCGTCACCCGCCAGTGGACTTGGTGAGTGTTACTTTGCTCTACTGTATGTTATTTTTATAGCAAATTTGTTTCCCTCATTTTAGCAACAATTTCACTTACATTAGGTTTTTTAGGAACACATCCCTATTGTTAAACGAGGGATGCCTGTATTTTCGTGGGTCATTTACGGCAAATAATAGTTAGCCGGTACAGTACACGCCCACAGTAAAAGCTACTTTATCCTGGCTTTGCCTGCTGTACCCTTATATTCATTCTTTACTCTATATTGCTACATGAAGAACAAACCCTCATGCACTACACAGTAGGGTCTCAGAGTACATGAGAGTTACGTTGCTGGGATCCTGCATGTGTGAATTCGCGTATATTCTGGTCCCCCTTGTATTATATACTGTAGGTATAACCCCCGTTTTAACTAAGGTATCCCTACCCAAAGTAAAAAGGCAGCTGTGTGAACTCCCACAAACCATATTATACCCTGTAAAAAAACAGCATAGTTTTCTCACTCTCACCACCATGAGCACTGCCACTAAAATTCACCAGTAAAGAAAAACTTTATGAGAGCCTGGGAGATGTTCACAGAACTAGTGCGAGAGAGATGTCTTGGTGAGCTGCTGTGGCTAGTGAGGTTATTATTATAATCATAATTAATTTAGGCAGCCCCTTCTGGCAATAAGCCCAACCAGCTGCACCATCAAAATAGATAGTTAAATAAATAAATACTAAAATTATGAAAAAATATATGCTTTTGAAGTTATGATATGATAAATAAGAGGGATGCTGGGTGGGTAAACTTGATTCTCACCCAAAAGATGCTGGGCTAGCGTGAGATACTGGGCGAGTTGGCTCGAGCAAGGGTAGTCAGGGGGTCAGAAGCATATAAGCGGGGTTGCATACTACAAATGTACAAACTCTGCGACCCGAGTGTATAGGCCACTTTTTCTTTTGTTTGAGTCTGTTTATATCACTAGTAACATTGTTGCCAAGTTGAACAAGTCACTGTAGCCACATTCCCCTCACTCTCTCCTTACCAATCTGTGCTGTGACAAATGTTTTGGTTATTATTCAGATCGTAATTTCAATTAGATACGTATTTTTTTCTCAATTACAGGCACACACAATCCTACATATCGAATGTGCAAAAAATATATAAAGAAATCATTACCAGTATAATAAATGGAATAGTTCCATATATACTTGGTCATGGTTTCAAATTTATTTTTAATATTTAATAGTGATAGTCCTTTTAGTATGAGTGGTGATGGAAATTTACCATAAATCATTAAAATCATCTGGAAGTAATAAAACCCAACAAGAACTTATTAAAACCAATGATAAAACGGGTATTAAGCATTTTTTTATTTTTTTTTTAAATTTAAGCCATGGTTTAAATCAGCCATGAGAGTTACTGTTACATCAATATGAATAATAGACAAATAGTATTTTCTTTGTTTAAAAATGTTGAGGAAATTAGCCAAACTTTCCAAAGATTAAGTACTCCCCCACCCCCCTGTAATCAAGAAAACCATGACTTTTTTGTACTCAACATAAAACAAACAATATTTACCTCTTAGCTTATGAAGCCTGGATGCTGATTCCTTCTTGACCCAGAAACCATCAAATTTGACAACTTCACTGTCAGTAGGTTTTGAGCTGCTGTTGTCCTTCACTGAATGGCTATGATTACTATTGTCCTTCACTGAATGGCTATGATTACTATCACTTCCACCCATGAACTTAAATACATAAGGGGACTTCCTTAATCCTCCCATTCTACGTCCCCTCAGTTCTTTCAACAATTTTCGATTCTCAAATAGCTTTTCCTTTTTCATGGCTCGCTGAAATGTTATTTGTTCCTCTCTTGTTAGCTCTTCTATCTCATTTCCATCTGTTCTTGCAGAATATATACTTTTCAATTTCTCTGTTTTCACAGAAGTGAGTCTCTCAACTGCTTCCCGCTTCACCCAAAAGCCATCAAACTGAGTCATCACGTCATTTTCTTCAAAAACAAGAGGATTTTCTTCAGAGACTTGAGGATTTTCTTCAGAGGTGCGAGGATTTTCTTCAGAGACATGAGGATTTTCTTCCGAGGCCAGAGGATTTTCTTCCAAGGCCAGAGGATTTTCTTCCGAGGCACGGGGATTTCCTTCAGAGATGCGAGGAACAGTTTGATTCTCATTCTGAAGATTAAGGTTACCAAGAACACAATTTTCTAACTTGATGCTGTTTGCACCTGTTCCCCAATTTCTGAGCTTCATTTTTTTATTTCTTTTGGGAGTGTATCTTTGCTCAAAACATTTTGTAACACTAACATCGCCTTTACTCTCACAATCTTCCTTTCCCTCACCCAACCTTCCTGTGAAATCATCACCAACTAAATTTGGTGCCTTCTCACTGGGATCTTCTTTCTTGACATTCTCATCATTATCAATAAATACTTGATCATTCTCATCTTTGATGCTCTTTTTTTTACTTTTCCTTACTTTCTTATTTGCTTTCTGCAATTTTTTAGTTATACTTTTATCTCGAGTATTCACTTGCTTCTCATCACTTATTAACTTCTTCTGTTCATACATCAATTCAATCCTCAGCGCCCTGTGGGCTTTCCTTTTTGCTTTCATCAGTTTTCTCATTACCTGAAAAAGATTACAAGGAATATAATATCAACAGATCTAAGCTTACACATTAGAATTAGAAATTTGTAATAATATTGACTTCAGGATAATTGATAGCCTCAAATTTTAAAAGAATCCAACTGTCCTTGGAATCAAATTTCCAGGAGCCCCACAAAATCCAAGAATCCTATAATTCCAGCTTAAAAATTCAAGCGTCCAACCCATTTTTTTTATTTTAAATTTGGTTAGTAGTGTATTGCCACACAACATGGTATAAAGTCAACTATAGTATACAGTAACCATTTTTAAAATGTGAAATATCATTCAGTATAATAACAAATGTAGTCCCCAAAAACAGTATCATTAGTCATGAGGTCAATGTGATTTGAGGCTTTCAGAGCAATGTTACTCGACCTATTTCTGAACAGTTGGTAGTTCTCCATCTGCAACCTTTGAGCATGAATGAGTACAGTACATCTGTTTTTGAATGATGTGAATCCTCCGAGGCTTCAGATGTTGTAAATGGACACCAACACCAAGCCAGTCCAGTCTTCAACAGGATTTTACATCAAATGGAGCAAGGAAATATCGAGGAGACATCGCAAGATGTGAGATGTGCTGTTGGCCTTCACAACAAAGGTATACATAATGCTGAGATAGCACGGTGAACTAAGGTGAGCAAACCCACAGTATGATGATGGGTTAGCCGCCATGAAACAACCGATGCCACACCAGGGGTGGATCCAGGAATATCAAAAGAGGGGGCCCAAGAATTTGTGGGTGGTGGAACACGGCGAGCCCACCCAGCTGGGGTTTTGTGGGGGTGCTGTATGCCCCCTCCTAGAATATATATTTTTTAAATCTGGCCAATATCATGGGCATTTTGAGATCATTTTGAAGCCATATGCACTTGATATTAGGAGATATTCTGAGGTCAATAATTACTTTTTACTATACAAAAATGCCTGAGTACAATAACCCTCAATAAACAAATGGGTTAGGTGTAAAAATAAATAAAGAAATTAATAAAGAAATAAATAAAAATAAAAATCGTTACGTGAACTTTTGTATTTTGAATAACAGAACAAATGGGGATATTACGGTTCAATTCCCAATGACAAAAATACCCCAATATTATACCCCAAAATATGAAATTGGTCCACAAACAGGAAAAAGACCTACCAAGAACCATTAAGGACAAGCTAAAACAAAGTTTAACATAGCCGTCATTTGTATAGACGCCGGCTGTGTCACACGTGGCTATGCCACTGTTCTCAATCCTCACCATAGCGACAGCCCGACTGGGGACGCTCTCACATCCTGCTTTCTCATCCAAAGTGTTTATTCCTTTTGTGTTTTTGACTTTATGATAATTATTAATTTTACTTTTTTTTGCACATTATGTACAGTACGTGGGACTGTGTTCATATAACTGAGTAAAACGGTGAGGAAACTTAAGTTTACTGACGTGAAATTACCAGTTGAATAATAACCAAAATATAACTCCCGGCTAACTTTCACTGGCTTACGAAGAAATGTTTATTCTCTATGTTATTGACTTTATAATTTGTTTTTCATTATGAATGAGGATTGTGTGAGCATGTAAATGAATAAAACAAAAAAAAATAAGAAGAATTATGTTTACACTGTTAATATAACTAAGAATTGAAAAATAACCATAAAATACAGTGAGGTATGCTATAACGAATCTAATTGGTTCTAGAACCTTGTTCGACATACGATTAATCCGTTCCAGGCCCCCAAATACAACCACTTAACACTGAAAAATATAATATAAAATTGTAAAAAAGTGCATAAATATGCATCTAAACCCCTGAAATAAAGAATATCATTAATACTTGTAATAAAAAAACAATAAATTAGTATAAAAAAAAAAAAAAACTAATGTTCGTTGCAGGAGTTTCGTTCGTTATAGCATTCTCAATTTTATAGGTAAAACCGTTCGTTATAGGAATATTCGTAGTAGAATCCATTCGTCATAGCATACCCCACTGTAACTATTACCAAAGCCTTGTTGTGAGAGTGCTTGGGGTATGTGGTTGCCCCAGCTGACTCCTGGGGGTGAACGATTTGAAATTTTGCCAGGACCCAAATTCCTATAAGTGGGGCAAGCTTTCATAACACAAAAAACAGGTGGGTAATTTAGGAAATTTGTATTAAGCATATTTTCGTATCTCAAACATTCATATAGCGAGGGATACCATTATACTAACCTGTCTGTACAATACTATGAATCATTTTAACATTTTATACCAAACATAACTTAGAAAATTTTAAAAATTAGTTTCTACCTCTTGTTCACCATGGTTTCCTTCTTTCAAACTTGCTTTAAGCTGGTCCAATTTCTCTACCATTTCCCGTTTGACCCACATATTATCATATCGAGTCATTCTCTCATTGTCTTCATAGGGAAGATCAATCCAAGGTCTCTCTATCCCATTCTTAAAAACCTTTACCCGCTGACCCTCTGAATTGATAGTAAATTCCTGCTTTAATTCAGTCACATTCTTTTTGTCTTTCTTCTTCTTCTTCTTCTTCTTTCCTGCTTCACTTGTACTGGTTACTGCCTGCATAACTTCATTTTCTTTCTCTCCTTGTACAGTTATGTCCAACTTCTCATTGTCTGTAATTTTTAGTTGCTTCTTATCTTTATCATCTTCTTTTGCTTCAGTAATAAATGTACTTTCTCCATCTTTCAGATTTTGTTTCTTCCTTTTCTTGGGTTTCTTCTCTTCACTAACTTTTTCAACTGTGTCATTTCGCTGTGCAACTATATCTGACCACGGTGTTGCTTCTTCCAATACACGTTTATTTGAGCCTTTTGAGCCATCAGCACGTGCAAAGCGAACCATTTTTGAAGGCTCTCAGTGGTCTGCTATTATCTGCAAAATAAATATTGCATGTTAATTCCACAATAAATGTACAGTATAAATGACTTACTATCAAGACAAGTACCACCAGAGAGAACAACAAAGCCTATTATGTACACTATGCATATGTTTTTAACTTTATATTAGGTTCTACAGTAAACATGTACTGTACTACATACCCATACAGTACTGTACTGTAATACAGGGGTTCACAAACTTTTCTTAGTCAAGGAACCCTATAAGCCACATGTAATATTTTCTGGAACCCCAATCAGAGCCACCCACCCGTACTCTTTTCCCTTATTAACCAAAATGACTACTAAATTACATCTAAGTAAAAAACTATCTACAGTATAAGTATTTCTCTGTTAAAGTTAAGCTCAAGTTAAAAGAGTTCCATTTATGAATTATAAACTGCAGAGCTTTGATTTGTTATTATTATTATTATTTAATTTTCTGGAACCCTTAAAGTGTTCATGGAACCCTGGTTGGGAATCACTGTGTGTAGTAAGTTTATCACCAATATTCAGTAATAGTTTACAACAGCATCCTCTTGTAAGGAGGAGCCACTTTAGGAAAAAATTCCACAATGAAAACTTGTTTCTTATCTCTCAGAAAAAAATAAACAAAAATTAGAGGAATTGTAACTTTCAAACTGTAGTTTTTCTTATATTTTTGTTAAAAGAGTAAATACAGTCACAGTTAAACTGTTGACACACACTAACCAATGAGTGATCCAAATACTAAGCAGTGAACTTTCCATATGAACCATTGACAAAATAGCACTTTAACCAACCTGCCTAACCTAATCTAAAATACTGCACTTCCATCCAAGAATAGGGTTGTTAGGTAAGGCTTGGTTAGTGATACTGCGGGGGGAGTTAGTACTATACAGCGGTAACATGCGTAACTCTCACCAATATGTCAAGGGTTCGAGCCTTGGCCCGGACACATGTGAGAAAGGTGTTACCCAGTGTAACACTACCAAAAACCACAGATTTCCCAGTCCCCAGTTTCCTCCGGTATTAACACTGGATAGACCGACCGCCTGAATGCCTAGTACGATGGATAAGTGGCAAAAAAAAAAAAAAGGGCTGCTAGTCGCTGGCAAGTGTTCGTGGGTATGATGAGAAACTGTTTTGATATATGAAACGCTGGACAAGACAAAGTAATCAAACTAATAATGTGATAATTTACATAAAACCTTATCTTCTGGTACTATTTACTATTAATTTAATCCTTTGGAGATAGTGATGACATTAATCCCATCTGGGAGCCGGTTCATTTTTTTAATCATTGTGCACTGTACACCAAAAATTTTAATTATAAATATGTTCTGCAGCTTTTAAGTTACTTTGAGGATTTTTTTTCTTAGGAACAGATTTCAGCTTTTATAATGAGTCTATGGGAAAATGTGCTTTAATTTGTGAAAAATTTACTTCAGCGTTGGCTATGTACCACCAATCATCTCCGGTCAATGCCAGTGTATGTTTACGAGCCACACGGAATGGGTCGCTGCTCTCACATACACACACAAAAAAAACAACGTAACACAAAAAGAACCAACGTAAAATTACACCATACATGAGTAATTTCTTTCTGTTTAATTTGCCGTGGGGTCCGGAGGGTTGAGCTTCACAGCTAGGAAGTTAGGTAAGGTTAGGTAGGTTTCTTTGGTTAGGTTGGTGAGGTCTTCCAACAATTCTTCTGCCACTTGTTTTTCTTATCAACTAGGGTTAGGTTTGGTTTAATTTAGAAAAACACCACTTTTTTTAACACATTTTCCATAAATACGACTGTGTCCACTATAAAACATAGTAAAATTACGGCTTTTTTTAAAATTCATAGTGGATATTTTGCTGTGACCGGCTAAGTTCCTACTGACGCTATTTTACCGTGATTGTGCTATGACTGGCTAAGTACATTCTGTTTAATATGACGGGTCCCCCACGGGCTAGGAAATTAGGTAAGGTTAGGTAGGTTTCTTTGGTTGGTTAGGTCAGGTTCTATTGGGTTTTCTCAAATAGTTTATAATAACAAGAACATCTGTGGAAAAAATTACCCAAATCGAACAACTCCTTCTGGTTAGGTTATGTTTATAGCTATACAACGATTAACTCCCGGCGAAATAATTCCCCTTGCCGCCAGTCACGGTCATATATCATTCTCGAGTTGTTCGCCGGTAATGGACTATTAGCCAATCTGCCTCTTAAATTCGTTATCTGTGAAAAATTAGCGGCTGTGAAGTCGTACATAATTACCAAAACAAGTTGTCTAGATTTTTTCTTAACGTGACTCCATACAACAGGACGCTGTGATAAACATATTTTATGTTCTTACACCATATAACTTCAATTTTTGAGGAATTCATTAATACACCCACGAAACAATAAAGATATAGCTCTTACTGACAACAACAACCATTATATTCACCTCACTACATGTGGTGGCCAGTCGTTAGCATCTCGGTAAAAGCTTTCATAAGAATTCTTCTTCTAAGTGTTACAAGGCTTCTTAAAAGTCACACTTTAAGACTATCGAGTTAATTTACAGAAAAAAATAAATAGCTTTGTTTTTGTGGTGACACTAAAAATAGATAAAATAAGATATAGCAATAATAATACACGCCTTAATGGTGGATGGGAACGAACGATTAACTACTCTTCTACACTCCTCCCAACTGACCCGATGAGTCGATGACATTTTTTAAAATAATCTATTAAATAGGTATGAAGACAAAAGTCTATGTAAAATGCATTCAATATTTATTTTATTTTTGAAAATGTGACGTTTTATTGTTATTTTATATTTCTGTATTTCAATTGAAATAACTTTATAACCGAACTCCAATCTCCAAAGTAAAATCGGCGAAAACTCAGCTATATATAAAAGTTATACAACTAACGAAGTCTAATGTCTGATTACTTTAATATTTTTGTCAGCCACAACTACACTGATCCACAAAAAATTACATAAATTCACCTAGACCAGGGAATTCTTTGGTCTAAAAGTTACATTTATTCCCCCGAATACCCAAAGGACGCAAAAAAAAATGCAGATGACTGAATTACGCCTTTTAGCTGACAACTTTGTTCATTTTACCGCTAGTAGTCACAAACATAGGTCGAAATAAAAACTCAAGAATATTCAGGGGCTCGGATCCAGGGGTGAGGGTCTTGGGGACCTCAACCCCCTTTTCATCAGAAAGTTGCAATACTTTTTCTTTAATGCAGTCGTTTACTCAGGCGTTTTTGTAGAGCAAAATGTAATTACTTTTGACCTCAGAATATCACATAATATCAAGTGCACATGGTTTCAAAATGCACATAATATTGGTCAGATTTCCCCAAAAAAATTCTGGTGAGGGGGGCTTCCCTAAAACCCTCCCAGCTGGGTAGGCTCTCTATGCTCGCACAATTTCTTGGACCTCCCCTTTTGATATTCCTGGACCCGCCCCCGATATTCTAAGTAATTATACCAAATTATATCAATATTTTTTTATATAAAATTTGCATCATATAGGGGCTAATTTGATCCACACCTACAAAAACTATAGATCCCTGTACTTGAGCTAGAGAGATAACACGTTACTTTATATTTCTCAAGTGGGCAATTTAGAATTATTGCTGGCATTCTCCGATCCGAGGACACAATTACCGTACGGAATAATTTTCAGTATCGGGAAAAAATCTCAATCTAAATCTCGAAGACATTTGTTCCCGAGTAGGGTTGTCAACAACTGGAATGGGTAGTGAATGTGGAGACGGTGGAAAAGTTTGAAGCAAAATTAGATAAATACTGGAAAAAGCAAGAACAAGTATATAATTATAGGGCAAAAATATCCGCCACACACAGCCACCGTCTGAGTAGAGAAGAGGCTGTGGGGTATGAGATGTTTGGTTCACACTCAGGATGGGATGGAGAAAGGAAACTCACAATGTGCTCTCTATATACATGTTGTATTGGATGTACAATGCAGCTTGGTGCTGGGAAGGCAGCATGGTTACAAGCGTGATGTAGAGAGAGCTGGTTGGTGAGGACGCTCAGAGAAGGACAGCTTGTGGGTCGCCATGCTCGCCGGCGGGAGAGAGGACCGCCAGGCAGGCGGAGGAGCGAGGGCCGCCAGGCAGCGGCAGAGGTGGTGTTGCTGGCTGCGGCTGTAGGTAGAGAAAGAGGCAGATCACCACGAGGTCAGGTCTTAAATAGCGGGGGTAGGCGTGGCATAGCAGTTGACCCCCGCTCCGTGGTGTATGGCGGCGCTGGTTGACCTAGACCACGAGGCATACACTGGGGAATTGGTGGGGTCGGCTAGGCAGCGACAAACAACGTTTGTAGGGGAGAATTCCACTACAAGGCTATTGAGCTGGAGTCACAGGCGTGAGCCTCTTCCAGAAGATCATCTGTGAGTATAATCACATAAGTTTAATCTCACCCACAGGGGGACTAATGGTTGTGGATTATTTTAAAGTGAATTATCACCAGCGTCTAGAAAAGTTTAGGTACAAATTTCTTTATGAATATTATAAAATCGTGTTTAATAAAATTACCATATATTACACAAAAAAATATATTTTTTTTTCTTTTGATGTACTAGTACAAGCCCAGTACTTGTGTAAGTTCGTAACAGAAACCAGACCGACCGCCTAAGCGGCTAACGAGCCTGTGAAGAGGGTAAACACAAGAGTAATAGGTCTGTTGTTACCCACGAGTTGTAGCGTCGTTGTCATAGAAACGGGCGAGCGAGTCGAGCGGACATCCGTGAATTTCTGTAATTTGTACTGTGCATGTACTTGTACAGTAAGTCTAAACTACCTCAATGTGTGAAAGTGAAGGAGCTGCTAGATACAAAGCTAGCAAAGTAGCAGAAGATGAGTTTTTAGATTATATCGCAAGCTACAGACGACGATATAACTCCTTGTACGCGCGAGGTCCTCTGTTACTTCTCACTCCAGAGAATGAAGACGGCAGGATGGTTAGATCACTGTTCCTTTTCTTCTTCAGTATAACTCATTGTCATTAGTAATACAGTTTTGAAGTATCACATCATGGCAGATTTTCCCTCTCATTTTAGTGTAATTTTGTATTTTCTGTCATTAAAAGAATCTGCAATAATTCAGGGAGGAACATCAAAAAGCCGGGGGTCCAGATTTGTGGGTGGGGATGCGGCCCACCCAGAGTCCACAAGTATTTGGTGGGTGGGGGGTGGGGTCTATAACCCTTTAAATCTGACCAATATCATGGGCATTTTGAGGCCATTTTGAAGCCATGTGGACCTATATTAGGTATTAGGTCAATAGTAAATACACTATACATGAGTACAATACTACATTAAAGAAAAGGTATTGGAATTTTCTGATGAAAATGGAGGGTCCGACCCCATAGATCCACCCCTGCATGGGCCAAGCAGCTGTATTTTAAGTTATAAGCCATACAGTACAACAAATGCAATGATAGATATAATAAACAAATTACTACACATGTTGATGATGTACAGTAGATATACCTGTGGGTAATTATTGACGATAAACCCATCGACGATTTTCATAGAAAGTGAATTTTAAAAACGCCACAATTTCACTGTGTTTTGCAACAGACGCTGTCATAGTTTGGGAAAATGTGTTGAAATTGGGTTATTTATAAATTAAACCTAACCTAACCTAACCTAACCTAACCTTAGTTGATAAGAAACACAAGCAGCCAAAGAAACCTACCTAACATTACCTAACTTCCTAGCTGCCCCCGAGCATATTAAACAGAAAAAAACTTACAATGATATGGTATAATTTTACGTTTTGTGTAGACGTGAGAAGCTGCTCAAACCGAGGAGCTCGTCAACAAACACCGAGTGGAGGATAAAATCGAGTGTGGATTGGGCCGCCTTACTGATTTATAACTGCGAAAGACAAAGTATTGTTGCCGGTGCGAGCCTAGGGGCCTAATTATTTACCAAACAGAGCATTTTCCCAAGAATTGAAAATCGCATTCAAACTCAGCAAAGAAAACATAGTATAAAATGATCCATCAAAACAAATTACGATGCGACGGTTATCTCGTTAATATTAACCTACCTGTGTAATGTACTTTTAAATTGAACTACAGTACCTGTACATGAAGTTACCACAGACACACAGTACACTACACAACTGTATTTTGCTATCACTTCAGAATCAAATATGACAATTAACTAGTGATGATAGAAAGGTAGGAATTTTTAATAGGGTCACTTTCGTTCATTTCTGGGATGACATGATGCACTATATATTATAATACTGTGTGTATGTTTCAGGTAAGTGTGGTGAGCCTGGTGGTGCCCAGCCGGGTGCCTCATCCTCAGCTGCTTCTCATGCAAGATGCTGCCCGCGTCCTGTCAGACATGATCACCTACACACCACCCCAGCCTCCGCCCTCCCTGGTAAGTCCAACACACCACCCCAGCCTCCGCCCTCCCTGGTAAGTCCAACACACCACCCCAGCCTCCGCCCTCCCTGGTAAGTCCAACACACCACCCCCTCCCTCCCCCCACCAGGTTAATATTTAGTACTGTAGTTGCCAACACCTACTTACATATTGAGTCTTATAGAGGGGAAAAAATAAAAATAATTTGTTCTAATACATACAGCATTTTTGTTAAAAATTTATAGTTTTTGAGTAGTTTTCATTTTTATATGGCAACTACTATACTGTATACTGTACAATACTGTATTTAGCCCAACTACAGTGGGCAGGGCTTTGAAGTAGCGGGAAATATTTAGGTAAAATACTAAAAAGAACACCAAACAAACCTTTGAAAACCTTACCTAACCTATAAAAAGGTTAAGAATCACTTTCAAGTTTATGGGTCCCTCCTCTTTTGAACACCGAAAACAACACCATGACATACTAAACAGTAAAAACATAAATACTGATAAGGTAATTTTTTTTATAGTTTCAGGATTTTTACAAGTTGAAAGCTGAGGTGTTCTTTTTAGTATTTTACCCCACATTTTCTCTTTGAACAACCAATGTGGGTCAGGTAAATAATTGTTCCTCTCCATCCCCATAATAAGACTAAATATATGTAAGTAGTATTGTAGATGTTGGCAACTATTAAATATTACCCCAATATTGGGGTACTGTCTTACATATCATACAGTCATTCATACAAGTACAGTACCTGTACTGTATATATGCTCAACCATATGGAAGTGACTATAATTAGAACTCAAAAAGGCTGTTTACAGGACCATCCTGAAATGTCAATACGGTGTACATACAAAACCCTAGTCTCATATATAAAGTAAAACACTTTTATGTAAGGTTAGGTTATGTGCCTCTTTATGTCGCTTTGTCGGTCGGTAGAAAACTGTTGGGGTTTTGTCCGTTGGGGTTTTGTCATGGATTCGTCAATACAGAATGGCCCTGAATTCTGTATTGCCTTTTTGAGTTAGCTGCAGGACAGTCCTGTATACTGTAGCCTTGGCCCAACCACACACCCTGCAATCTTTATTCCCTCATACTACAGAAATAAGCTTCACATTAACCATCCCTCATACTAGTGAACTGCCTCACACACACACACACACACACACACACACACACACACACATCCGACACTATAACCTCTATAATCTGTCTCAATTTACCTTCATAACCTGTCTTGTTCACTGTAAATTGTAACCTTCATTTGTACATCATGCACCTTAGTGTGTATTGTGTGTATATCATGCACCTGTAGTGTGTATTGTGTGTATATCATGCACCTGTAGTGTGTATTGTGTGTATATCATGCACCTGTAGTGTGTATTGTGTGTATATCATGCACCTGTAGTGTGTATTGTGTGTATATCATGCACCTGTAGTGTGTATTGTGTGTATATCATGCACCTGTAGTGTGTATTGTGTGTATATCATGCACCTGTAGTGTGTATTGTGTGTATATCATGCACCTGTAGTGTGTATTGTGTGTATATCATGCACCTGTAGTGTGTATTGTGTGTATATCATGCACCTGTAGTGTGTATTGTGTGTATATCATGTACCTGTAGTGTGTATTGTGTGTATATCATGCACCTGTAGTGTATATTGTGTGTATATCATGCACCTGTAGTGTGTATTGTGTGTATATCATGCACCTGTAGTGTATATTGTGTGTATATCATGTACCTGTAGTGTGTATTGTGTGTATATCATGCACCTGTAGTGTGTATTGTGTGTATATCATGCACCTGTAGTGTGTATTGTGTGTATATCATGCACCTGTAGTGTGTATTGTGTGTATATCATGCACCTGTAGTGTGTATTTACTGGTCATTTGAGTGGTTGGTCTGTTCTTTGTTATTTTTGTTATGAACTTTATTGCCCAGTGTTGGTGCAGGAGTTCCTGGAGGAGCCTGTGACGTGTGGTAGGATCTCACTGGATAACACTCTTCTCACAAATGTCTTGGGCCAGGACTTGAACATAGTAATGTACAGGACTGTAATGAGAGATACTTGCATTACCACTGTACAGTTGTGGAAATGTGTTCCTACACACCTTGTGGTAACCCATGTCTCCAAAAGGCCAGCCTATATGACCTATAGCAAACCTATCCAACGATCACGTCTGGCGTTACATAACCAATACCCATTCATTCATAAATAGTGATTCTACTTCTGTGACGGTGCAGTTTGGAGACAAGGGTTACCACAGGGGGTGTAAGAACACTTTTCTGCAGCTGTGCCACCAACACATTCTTCATCTCCAAAATACAGAAACATTAGTTGTAGGCAGGTTAAAGATGCACGAGTTTAAGTTCCCTTCTGTATGTACAGTACACCAGGGACTCATCTGGGCATAAGCTGGAATTATTGGTAGTAAAAGTATTGATTTCCCTATGGGGTTCTGACTTACTCATGATACTGTAAACAGCATTGGGGGGAGGGTTAATGTGCTTGACTTTCCTGAGAAGTTTTAACTCATAAATGGTCAGCATTCCTCTGACCAGAAATAAATACAGTACAGTACAGTACAACTGATATAACTTTTTGTTTTAATTTGTTAGAATTATTATAATTACTGTATTGTTTATTTTAGTTTGTGTGTTTGTTTGTGAAAGTGCCTTAGAATACCAGGCTGACTAGTTGGTGAACTGACCACAGGCAAAGAGGATACGGTAAATGTCTTCAACTTCATCACTGTAACAACAATATTTCAATTATTCTTTGTGGTCTTATATTTGGCAAAACTGCATTTTGGAAAGATGTGTTAATGACCTTGTTTGACCTATCATTAATGTTCTAACGAGTGTGAGTCAATGTTGAGCCCCAGTGTTACTTAAGTCATCACTAACCTAACCTAAATCAGTGTTAATGCAGTTCACAACAGTAACGAGGAGTGAAACTTTCATCAATTTCTTAGCTAATTTTTTGTCCAAGTTTTACAAAGGTCAACAATGGCAGATCCCAAAATTTTCAGGCTAATACCAACCCACTGATTTATGTGCAGGTTGAATTTTCATTGTCAATAAATATCAATTATTGGTGAGTTTACTAACAGTTGATCTGTCAGCCATGCAAGGTATGGTCTTTGATGACGAGAGTTTATGTGTCAGCCAACCAGGGTACGTTCACCAGCAGTGGTAGTGAAAGCCCAGGAGGGTAGCGGGGCAGAGTGCGCGCTGGTGGTAGCATCTGTGTTGCTGGGTGCAGGGTACCATGCCCCGTTGTCCAGGGATCAGCACAACCCACACTTGTCGCCCGAGATACTTCTCACCTACCCTGCCCGTACCTCGAGCATCAGCAGGAGGCAAGTTGATTATGTATGAATACACTTATGGTTTAGCTATACTGGTTGACACATATACTGTACAAGAATGAACTGTTATCCACATATAAAATTAAATTTCTGCTGAAACGGTTAGTTGTACAGTACATAATTTAGGGCATTTTCCAGAATGACGCATTATTTCATCTCACAAACCCAGAAAAAATCCCCCATCCCCGGAATTTTCCAGTTACCGGAAATTTTTTTGCGAAATTTATGGAAAATAGACCCAATTTTCATCTCCCAAAACCGAAAATAAAAATATCCCATCCCTGGAATTTTCTGGGTACCAGGACAATTTTCTCAAAATTTTCCATTGAATGTGCTCCTTAGAAAATCGTTCCAAACCCGTAATTTTCTGGATAATTCTAAAAAAGTTCCAATTCCGGGTATCAAAGACTTCCGGTTAAGAGTGATTCCAGGTAACGGAGATATTACTGTATATATATGCTGTTCTGTGCATATCTTCTTTCATACATTAAATTATACCTTCTACGCATGTATGAAGTTAAATAGATTTCTAAATCACATAAACTTGTGGCAGGAGGGTGGAGAACAGGAAGAGGTGACGTCCTCCAAGTATAGTGTAAGGTCCCCACCCGACTTGAGGAGTCATTATGCTCTCATCATGGAAGAGCGAGCACGGCGCCGACGTGCTGCCCAGCTTCAGCAGCAGCAGCAACAGCAGGAAGGCGACATAGAGGACATACAAACCCTGGTAAGAGAATGCCCACTATTTTGCTATTTATGATACAGTATCCCAATCTACTGTAATTTGCACTAGTGATGCTGATATATTATGACCACTTCCCTGTTCGTGATGTTAACAAACTCGCATTAATGATATTTGTCATCCTGCCAAGCAGCATATGGAACACATCACTCACTTCATCTGTCAACTGAGGTATCATCTACCCAAACACTGCCTCGTGGTCATCTTGTGAACTACAGTCCAGGCATTGTTTCTTCTTGGTTACATGTGTGTAAGAAATGGAGCTCAATGTTTATCAGTCATCTTCGATGTTTTTTTTTTACCTAACAGCGAGAGGACATCACTTAAGTTCACATTGTACTTTAAGTGACTGTAAAGTGCTTTCGCTCTGATTCCCCACCCCGACAATGGGTGACCTGACATAGCATCAATAAGTCAGTAATATGAGACCACATCATGAGGAACACATCTCCATATATGTAATGGTACCAAATCCATTTTGTAACACAAATAGAGCAAATGTTGTGAATAAAAGTTTATAAACTTTTTTGCTAGCCATCAATATATTTGCTACTTAGCTTTCATCTTTATTCGAGACATTTTCAGACCAAGAGACCCAATAATTCCCTACCACACCTCCATTGCAACATTTCTTACGTTTTTCTTAAGAGAATTGACTCTCCATTATTGTTATCGTGTTTTTATGACTGGAGTGAGCAGTGTAACTCTGAAAATGTCTGGCAAGCATTTTGCTCATCATCTTCAAGGCCAGGACAGGCTACAACTCCAGTTACAACTCCCTAAAGTCTGTGTAGGACTCAGGTTGATGTCTCCACTCCACTTTAAAAAGAGTCCCCTCAGCCTCAAGGGGGATATGTGATGATGACTTGACTTGTTTTTAATGATGTGGTGAGTGTTGTTTTATATTATTGTAGTGCTAGTAGTATTCTAGGATTTTGTTTTTATCGGTGATATATTTGGGTGTCCGACTGGCCAGGAACATATCCCATTGAAGCCCATGTTATAATGAACCTGATATACGATATTTTGATTTGTAGTTGCAACAGATATATCCCTTGGGAAATGGAGACATATAATGAATCGTAAAACCAGCACTTGGTAAAACATCATGATTTCTTGGGTAGTGACAGTTTCGGAGATACTTTCTCCATCATCAGGAAATCTAAAACAAATGAAACCAAGAGTACGATGCATACAAAAAAATGCAGATAGGGTAATTAAAATCAAATCGAATAGAGACTGAACATAAATCAAAATAACTAGAACCAAGTGTATTGAAAAAGAAACAATAAAAAAAACAAATGAGCCCAATGTTATAAACCCATTGGTTTGTCACACACACACACAAAAAACACTATATCAGTTGACCTCTCATTGCTACACAGTGAGGGTTTGAGGTGAAGTAACAGACTAGCAGATCTCCATGCCCATATTCTGTGAGGTGACAACTGAAAATGACTGGTGGAATGCTCATGTGTCTTGCAGGAAGCGCGGGTCAACAGTTCGGGAGACTACACAGAAGCGCACCTTCACTTCTGGGTAGTGGTGTTGCCACCAGGTCGGGGGGTCACTACACCTACTTTCATTGAATCCACCACAGGCCAGGTGCTCTCATTGTCTTCTTCCCTAGCACTGCCATACCTTTACATCCACGCTTTGTTTAACCACACTAACTACTGGGCCTGCACCAAGTACAATCAAGCCATCTCTTGTGATATGGTAAGTTACAATCATGCACTGTTAAATATTCATAATTACTTAATTAACATTCATCAACTGTTTAGGCCTCCAGCAAGCTGTGCAGATAAGCAGTTCCTGGCATGCCTGGGCTAAGGGGCCAGATAAGTGATTATTTATGTCCATGTGCCCAGTACTTGCCTGGCAAACAAGATAATGTTTTGAGGTAACTATCTGGAGGGAAATTTGTCAGATGCTGTGTGGCCCCACATCCCCATACATGTTTAATCAGAGAGGTCAACAATGTACTGTACCAGGATTACTGACCTATGACAGGTGCAGGTAATTTACCTCTACATTAAGCTGCCAACCTGCCTCTAGTCAGTTGGTCAACTAGTCGAAATTTCAATGGAACCACTAAGCTGAAAGGCTGTAGAAGTTTTATTTTCATTGTCAGTCGACATCTGAAATATATTGTATTACAGTAATTTATAGGGTGTCCCCCATCAAGAATATATCTTCAGTTTTCTTTTTGCTCCATTCATTTCTGGAAAATGTCTCAAGAATATTCAATAGATTTGCTCCAAACTTGAAGCACTTCCTTGAATTTAGCCTACCAGGTGTGTCACAATATGAGTTCTTTTGAGAATTGTCAGCAACAACCTGGTGTTGGCCCATATCGAGTGGCTACCCATTGACTGGGGATCAATTTTATTTCAGGACATTGCCTCCACAAAACTTTGACAACCTTGTATAGACGCATACAGTATATTCATTGGTGCAGCACAGTTTGATATGGTGCTCCACAACACAGAGACCCCACACAAGGGGTTAATGTCACTGAGGGAATCATCAATAAGTCTCATTATATCCCAGAACAAATTTGCAGGACACCAGGAATTTGTTTCACATGACTGTATTCTTATCTGCCAGGTCCATGGCCCATCCTTAGTGACTTTGCAAGTGTTCTTCTAAAAACTTATGTGACTTTGGTAATGGTCATGATGCAATTATTTTAGCTATAGGATTAAGGGAGTTTAGAGATCTATCATTTTTTATGTTATAATTATATTCATCTGAGCACCAATATATCAAGTAACCCATCAAAAGACAATCAGTAAACTATGGATTGAAGCAAAATGTTTGTTGAATGTGTTATATTCAAGTAATAAATATACTTACAAGAGACCATATAGTTTGATCTGTCAGATAGAAGTGTGTGGATGCCTCTGATGGATGATGGTGTTGGGGCAGCCAAAGCCTCACAGGCACCACACCACCCCACTCATCAAGACAACAAAAATCAGAATAATCAACAATATAGCCATCATACGCCTCCATCACACAGCAGGGAGAAAGTTGGAGACTCTCAATACATCACCACTAGCTCCCTCATGGCTAGTGGCACCAAGCATGCCCTCAAGGTGCCCACCACCTGGGCCACACCCATCATCATCACAGAGGAAGGTGAGTGTGTCCATTTATCCACATATTCTTCCCATCGTTATTTTAATCTTATTATTTGTATTGTGGCACACCAATAACTCAGAATAATTGTGGCAGAAGATGGTTTTGACTTAAATGATTGACTGACTTAAAACAAATACAGTATAGTGCAGCATAGGTACTGGGGGTAATAAACGTGTTACTGTATTAATGATCTTCAGAATATTTGATATGAAAACAAAACACCCTCGGACCCTACCATGATATATCACCATTACTGTAGTTATGCATCTATATGGCTTATATCCTCATTACCACGGTCATTTATAATAAATAGTACCAGTGGTGTTGTGTGTGTGTTGACAGCACTGATAGAGAGGTTCCCAGGCGGGTGGCGGGAGGAAGTGTACAGTGGGGTGGTGGTGAGGCACTACTCCCCATTCTCCCACCCACGAGGTGCAACACTCATCTTCACATTCTTCTCCAAAAGTGGTGAGTAAATACTCACCTCCACATTCTATGTCAGCACTGGTTACTGATCATCCTCACATTTTACCTCAACACTGGTGACCACTCATTCTCACATGAGGCCAGGCTTCACGGTTCTTACTCTTTTGCAGGGGCACCATCATGCTGGTAAACATTGTAAAAATTCAGTAAATGATCTTGCAGTATCATCTTGTGACATTCAGAGGTCATCATCATGTTCTTATGGAGGTGCAATGCTGATATTCCTAGCAAAAGCAAACTGCTGATATAGGGGGAAATCAGTTGCTATCGATTTATTTTTTTAATTTAGTAATTACTTATCCAAGTTTTGTAAACCATTTATACGGGGTAAAATAATTAGTTTACTTATACTTTATTTCTTTATGTCTCTATTTAAATTTATCTTACTTGTCTTCTTATTTATTTTATCTTGTACAATACAGGTTGTATATATATTCTGATCTTTGGGCTTATCTGGGAAACCTTATGTTACTGTACAATCTTCAGTAACTTATTGTAATATGTTTTGTTAACTATAATCTGGGATCATTATCATTATTGCTATGTGGTGTACACCCATACCAGGGTCAGTGAAGGAGGTGTGGGAGAAGTACGAGCAGCGGGAGGATGGGCTAGTGAGTTGTCACCGACCTACTTCAAGGCACCATCGTGGAGACCTTTGCCAACACCAGGAAGGACACACTCAAACGTGAGTTGCTTAGTCTCAACAATTGCTTTTACTTTTTTTTTTTGACAAATTGGTGATTATAAAAAAGTAACAATAATGACAAGCTTATGTTATTCCTTTTTTATATGGGTAGTACAGTACAGTATAAAGTGTTGAGAATGTCAGACCCTTGTAAATAAAGACAGGGACACCTATAACTGTCTTCTTTTATGGTCTCATAAACTGAGTGCGAGATAGTGCTAAAATGTCTTTCCTTGTACAGTATATTTAAAAAAAGTGAAAATATTTATTCCATATAAAATACAGTGGGGTCTCATTTTGTGTGAGTATATCGTACTGGTATGCGTCTGCACATTGGACTCGCCAAACCATTACTCTAGAATGACATTGGGTAACAAACTTAACCTTCCAAAAATGACACATAATGTCACATAAACTGCATCTACATCATTAAATATTTTAAGGCAGCACAGGAAGTTAATTATGTGATACTATTCCACTGTCTTCATCAAATAGTGACGGTGTGGGAAGCTCTGGGAGATGATGGGGATCCAGGCAGGAGATGAAGGCTAGTCAGATATAAAGCCTTCAAAATCAACTGCAGACACTTGTTAAGTGACTTCATTTTCATCACCAATCTCCAGTGTTGGGGTCATTGTCACTTTTGGATTCTCCTTGATTTGTTGATGTGTGAAATAGGTAGCGATGAGAGCTTGGCGGTGACGTTAAAACTCCTGATAATGTTGCCTGTAGGGTCCCTCGCTCTACTCTGGTATTGCCACACCACCAACACTGATTTAGCTTGTCGTTTATGTTGAAGTCGTATTACAAATTATATATCCAATTTTTTCTATTATTTATGAAGAAACATGAACCACAAGAGGCTGATCATACAAAAATATAATATTGAATAAATAACAAACTCACAAATGCGGCACGGCCAGTCTCTCCCCCCCCCCCTTCATTTACGAAGGGAGGTGATGAACAAGAATAGGAAATAAGGCATGAGAAATCATGTAAGGAAATACAGTACAAGTAAAAAGAAAAAGAGAGAAAGAAATAGAGTAATTAAAGAATAAATAGAAACTAGAGTTAGGAAAGAAACATAATGTATGGGAAAAAGTAATTTTCTCCTTATCCTCTCATGTTACTGACCTGACCTTATGCAATCCTAATGCAATATCAGGTTCCCCTTTGTATATAAACTCTTCTCTCATTTGCGGTGAATATTGGGTGAGAGATTAGTGGTCTCATATGGAAACATATTACAGAGGTATACACTTCAATAATACATGTATTTATTAAGTTCTGATAAATATGCCACAATATTATTTACTAAGTGTTCAAGACAGATCTTGTGGTAAGCACCAACCCTCTTCAACAGTGACAACAATGGTGCTAGAGAGATGCTGAGTGCTGGCAACATTGTTAGGGAGAGCAGGTCAGCGGGAATGATCAACTGTTACCGCTCCGTAAACAAGAGAGGAATATCCTACAGTGCAGTAGCTCATCTGGGATTAAGTGTGGGAAAATTAATAATTTTTTGATTAGGTTTAATTAACCTGACACTAAATGAACATAAATAATATAGGAATTATAGGTGAAATTGCATTCAGTTATAAAGGGATCGAGGGCTGCCGAGCAAGAGGTGGCGAGTTGTTCTCTCTTTCTTCCTCCTTCACCTGCCAAGAGGTTTCACGAGGAATGTAATTTACAACATGAGAGCATATATTCATTTGGATTGATTAATTACCAAAATATATGTATAGTCCCAGAAGAAAGTTCTTGATACAGTCAAAGTGAAGGGTGTAAAGTCAGCCTCCACCCTTACTGGACAGCGGGTCTTTGTCAGTGATGCCAATTGTGAAAAAAAAGTTTACCAGATTCGTGTCAGAATCTTTCTAGATCACTGCACATGTATAAGTTTAAAGGCACATCTGTGATTCATGCTTCAATTTAAAGGCAAATACAATTTAACAGCAAGGCTCTGGTCCCAAGCTTGCCATTAAATCAAAGCACAACTAGTACTGTAATGACCTAATTCATTGTCAGGGTGGGGAATTAGTGAGTCCCATGACCTGAAGATGTCATGAATAAAGACAAATAATATACACTACACTCGATCCCAGATGAGCTATTGCGGTCTCTTGTTTACAGTACAGAACAGTATCAGCTGAATGTTCCTGCTCTCCTTAACAATGTTGCCATCACTGATCATTTCTCAACCAACAGATTTTTCAGTAATTTAAGTGACCCAGAGCCCCCTAAATAAGCAGAAGATCACTAAATTAATGTTCACCGTTACCCGCACTACCTATGGCTTTCCGCCTACTGTAAGCTATAACTATGGTCACATTTTAACCAATCATGTAAGCGATAACCGTGCATGCGAGACCCACGTAAAATGAGTCCCCACTGTACTTATAATACTCACTTAAGAGAGGGACCCACAAACTGCTGGTGTCAAAGTCAATAAAGATGTTTTGGCGGGGCAGGTCACCAGTATTGGCGAGCTCCGGCTTCTTTGGCTGCTCGTGCCCGCCGCGATGGCATGGACAACCCTGCACAGGCAGCAGAGGTTGATGACCATAACCATGTCCCTGGGGAGGAGGTCTTTATGTTCTACTCCAGATTTAGGGTCGATGCTCTCAGGTAAGATTTAGGATTACTGGGGTTATCTGACATGCAACTCTCCTCCCCACCCTTATCTCTCCAACATTTGGTACTTTTGCTGTCAAATAGTTTGACTTATCACTGTAAAAATTTTGAAATATATTCAAGTACTACAGTACTGCATATGAACTTCTGTTATTTTCAACTTCATCTTTTACCCAATACAATAAATTGTACAGTATGTACAGTATATGCAATTATAAATGCTCTCTTCCCATTCTCCGTTCCAACTTTCCAAGTGGGTAAACAACATGTTTTGTCTCTATCAACAACTAAATGACAACTTCAGCAATGTTTGTTTAGTACACCTTCACATATCACAGTTGGCAAGATGTGACTTACTTGTTTTAATCTTCCTGTTAGTCACAATCCCAGGTCTCTGGAGCTCTCCAGTAACCAGAATTAAAATTGAACCTGAAAATTTCCAGAAAAACTCATCAATTCTGGGCATGGGAACGAGTTTCCGAGGATGAAAACCAGGCGTATTTTCCAGAAAAATTCCAAGAAAATGTCTCCAAACCTCTCCCTTCTAGGCCTGGGAACAAATTTTCAAAGAGTTCCGAGAATTGCATCATGCTTCAATGCGTTTCCACGTGCCACGTGGATCACTTAGTTCATATTCTACTACCATTGTAGAAGGTTGTTCCTTCACTAGCTGGTGTTTCTGCATACAATTTGTGTTTTGCAGTACTGTACCAGGACACTCTGTCAAGAATACAGTGTTAAAGCAGTGTTAAGATATAAAAAGTGATAAAACTGTAGTTACGTATACTGTACAGGTATACTCATGAACCAACGTCCAGTTAACCAATGCTTCGCATAACTGATGATTACATCCCAGTACTGTACTCAGAAAAATTCTGGGGATGTTGTCAAGGTTACAATGTGGGATTTTTTCAAGGTTTAAGAGAGTCGTCTCATTATCCGGAAATCTTTCATCCCTGGAAGATCGCTGCACCAATTGTTCTGGCTAATGGGGATATTACTTATTAAGACATCCTAAGTACTGATAAGTAGTTCCGTATCTAATATAATTCTAGTTGGATATAATTATCACACTTGGTACACAAAGACCATTGTAAAAGGTGATCATGACATATTGACTCTTTTGATAGGAGTCGAGTAATTGGTGAGACCACTTGGAGGGAGGAATATGATGAGCGTCCAGACCTTCTGTTGGCCAGGACTGTCACCTTCGGTAACTCAGACCCCACCCCACCCAGATCCATTCAGGTAAGTCAACCTCAGGGAGTACCAACCCTGCCTTGAAAACATGGAAGTCCTTTGTATACTGTCCAGTTCCTATTGTATAAATGGGTTGGTGAAAGGAAGGGCATCGAGCCGTAAAACTCACTTCAAATATTCTTCATGGCAACTGGAGCACCATGCATCAGGTAATCAAGGGTAACCCACACAAGCATAGAAAATTACCATAAAACAGTGATTATGATGATAATGAAGATAGATTAGTAAAGGAGAAATTTGAGAAACACAGGATCAACCCATTCTGTGTCATCTTAAACTCTAAAAGGGTGTTTCAGTAACTGGTTGCAGGGGTGGATCCAGGAGTGGGGTCCTGAGGGTCCAGACCCTACCCTTTTCATCAGAAAATTCCAATATCTTTTCTTTAATGCATATTTTAAAATTTTTAAGGGGGGAGTTTACAGCAACCCCCCCTCCCCCTTGATATTCCTGGATCTGCCCCTGAGTTGGGTTATCTGCACTACAAAAATCCAATGTGTGAGATTGCTAAATACCTGTAAGTACACTTTGCATGCCTCACATCTTGTGAGATTAGGAAAACACTGTACAAAGATTACAAGAAAAAGTAAAATTAACATATGAATTCAATAAGGCTGATGAAATTTTGTGGAGTACTGTACTGAGATAAAACATTAGTGTACAAACATGTAGACAGTATATGATGGAGAAAGTGTTGTAGCCAACTTACAGTATGGTAGGAAATGATAAAACTGTGCACAATGATGAATGAAATATTTAAACACTCAGACATTCAGTTTTGAATGTAGGATAACAAATAAGAAAATTCAATCAAGTATTATTATAAACCAAGAGATAGCAATGTGATCATGCTTCCCTGGCAGAGGATTGAAGAGGAGTTTGGGTGCCCTGACAACATGGAGCCACACAAGGTGGTACAGCGACGAGTGTTCCAGGTGAGCGAGAGCAAAATCCTGCTGGTGTATCACTACGGCCGTCATCGTCTCCTTCAGCCCACCAGGTCCTTCCTCAAGCCCCAAAATGGTCGCTCCACTGCCCTAACCCCGGACATGACACAAGGATTTCAGGTTTGTACGGTATACTCTCAATTTAACGGAATCCGATGTAACGAACTCTTAATTTAACGGAAGCAATTTTTTCCGTTATTTTTCACCCAATTTAGTGAACTAGTTCGTTAAATCGAGATTAATTCCATTAATACGCTCACACCTATGTAGATACCTCAGACACATTATATGTACATAGAAACCGTATTCATGGCTTACCTTAAACTAGGAGGTTCGGTGTTTGTTTTAATTTTGTCTATAATTTCCAAACATTTCCGATTGATAGCCACACTCTTTTGACTTTCTCCCCTAGACCACTTCCTTTCTGAGACTTCTGAGAGACTTTTGGCATGATGTCTAAGCACAGTAGTTAGTTGACCAAGAGGTAGCAGTGAACAACACATGCGGTGGCGGCAGGACACAGACTGAGCGGATGTAAACAAACCTCACACATCATCAATATTATAAAGCCGCATGATCATAAGAATAACTTACACTGTAAAGAAACGAACACCACTATTTTTTTTAACCATGTTTACCTCTTGCTGAATACTTGTCCTGACTGACCTTCCTCAACCCCACACCCCTGAGGTAGAGTGTACAGTGCCACCTACCCAGGAGACTAAATACCTACAGAAAATTTTTTCAAGTATTTGACACTGTAAAATCAGAGGAGTATTTTTCCACAGATGTCTACTACTGACCAATTTTATTTTTAAAGATATCAGTTTAGTTTTATATGGTAGATTATCATGAAGCAGTTGGATCATATTTATAGGTGTCACAGCAACCACAGCACAATGGTGAAATACTGTACTACTCAGAAGTCTCAGATCTTTAATATTTCTTAAACTTAAGCAGTCTTTCATAAATAATACCAATTTTCACCAACTCTCCTTTTCAATACCATACCTCTTCCATTCTTTTCCACCAAACAAGTAAACTTATCAAACTTGGTACTCTATAAGAATTGTGGTTTTTGTTTTATTCTAACCCTTTTGTTGTTAACTAATTACTTTGTACAACACTCATATTCCTCGTCATAAAAAACATCATCTGTAGTTCTTCCTGACAAAATTTAAAGTAACACAATTTATTAAGGATCCAACTCTTCCATCAGCTTAAATAAATACTGTACTGCAGAATTAAACAAACCAAAAGGGGCCTCTGAGGGTGTGGATGCTTGTGGAATCCATTTTCTGACTTCATGAAATTACTCCACAGTGGCTCTTCAATGGACTACTGTAGCTCATCAGTCATTTATTTACCTGTGTCAGGTTAGAATTTTGTGGTTGTTAAAAAATTCTGTTGTTCAAATGGTCAAATTTCAATCCAGTCATCAAGAGAGAATTATCTTCAGTGTCTGTTTCTCAGACTGACTGTATACAGTAGTGCCAATCATATCTCTCTCTTTGTCACCTAATCTTCCTGCTCTTTTCTCTCTTTATGGTCCATTTTGCTTGTTCTGTTATTTATCACTTTCTCTGGACACATTGGTTGGACTGGACATTTCCATTGCCGGAGAATAAGAATTTTTACACATGTTTTAGCCAACATTAATTAGTCAGTGTTGATGGCAGCCTGACCCGAGTGTAGAGGGGCCAGCCATGCCTCAGTTGTGGGCGGTACTGGAGGCAGAAATGGAAGCAGAGTTGCGGGTACAGGAGGAGGTGCGACGTGGGGTGGAGGAGACAGCAGCCCTGAGGACAGCCAGGGCCAACGAGGAGCACCACATCGTCCTCCTCCCACACATGTTTGACATTCAGAGAAATGAAACAGTCCAGTATATCCTGAAGCAGGTAATTTACCTGATTGTTTGTGTCTTTTGTGTTTCTTCCCAACTTTCCATAATTCACTCACCAACATCACAACTGATTTTCTGGTTTCTAAAAGCCATTATGGCATAACTAATGCTCTGCAATCTGGAAGATATTATGATAGTGTGCAGTTTATAGGAACAAGTACCAATGGGACTAAACAAGTACAGGACAATGCTTTGCCAAATTTGAAAAAAAAATGTACTCTCATTAAGTGAATGACATTAAATATTTCTCTGGTAGTGAGTCAGTCAGTGCCAAACAGATATAAGCATCAGACATCAAGTGAATAAGTTCAAGTTGAAATATGCATACAGTAAACCCATGTTATTCACGGGGTAAAGGTTCCAAAGAATGGCGTGAATAGGCAAAACCACGAACAGCAACTTATACAGTACTACCTTAGTTTTGAGAGTACGTACAACACGAGATGCTGCATGGGGCGACTCGTTGTGCTGCGGGAAAAGGCCACCATCTGCTTAACGCGAATCACAAACCCGCGAATGACAAGAGTATTGTAAAATGGAAACTTAAAATATCCAAAATTCTATAGCTGGAATAGCTTATATTAACTTGATACTGAACAAACAACACCGCCATATTTTTAGGAAAGTGGAACTAGATGGGGATCCAAAGATGATTTTTTTTCCAAAGCCATCTGATTACAAGTCTCTCTCCACAATCACAGAGGACACTGTACATTCCTTGGCAAGGTTGTGGTTGAAGTATGGTATCCACAATTGGGGAACTCGTTATAATGTGGTGGGATAGGAGATATGTTCCGGGATCATCAAAATTTAAGTCATAACAGACACCTGGTACCAGTGATAACAATGTCTGTAGAAAAAATTAACAAATCGAACAACTTCTGGTGGGTGCGGTGTTCTCATAAATTACCTAGAATACCTATACCCTTCACATTTACTGGTACTGTATATGTATATTATTTTAAGAAAACTATGGTTACAGGACGAAAATACACACAAAAGTTTTTCCCTAAATACACCCTGCTGAAATGGGGGGTGCATCTTATATGCCCATGCATTTTATACGCCGTAAAATACAGTACTGTATTGTACTTATAACAGAGGTTTGTTTCCTTCTTGCTTATAGTACAGTAATAGCATCCAGAGTCCCACTGTGGACACTAAGGGATATGTTATAGGACATAGGTGGCATAAGGAAAATTGTCCCCCTCCTAAATTATACAAAACAAATACATAAAGGTGAGAAAGGTTAATGCTAAGTGAAAAGGTATGAATGTATAGTCAACAGCAGTTGTTTGTCCTGAACCAATCTACATGATGTGAGCCAAGTAATCTGAAAATATTTTATGAGGACGAGTTGACAGATATGCTTAAAATGGTCAAATATTTCAGATTTATGATCGAAGATTGCATAAAAATACATTTCTTGCATTCAAGGTAGTAGTTACCTGTACTGTAGTATCAATGTGCAAAATGTGGGAAAATAATGTTGAGAAATATATGACATTGTTTAATAATGAATGTCATTAAGCGCTGAAAAATACTCGTTGGCATCAGCAGTACAAATAATAATCTTATACGTCTGGTTCCCAGTTAAGAATCATCCTGCTGCAATGTTCCATATTTCTCAATAAAATGATTTGACACATAAATACTAATTAAGTTATACTGTAAAGAAGAATGTATCTTTAGGCAATTTCCAATTATTAATCTTAAATAACTAAGCATATCTGTCAATTCTTCCCCAGTGTTACCAGATCACCTGCCTCATACCATACTGCTGTTGACTGTACATGACTTGAAATTAGAAAACATAATCATGTTTCTAGACTTAGAAATAGTTTCAAGTATAAAAACTAATCTTGAACACATTTGTTCAATGTACAAAATATTACTGTAATAATTTTCTTTAATATTTAAAGTTCTTGGAATACCTGTATTGTGATTTTATTGAACTGGAGATATATTGTATTTGTGCCAATAGAAGAGTCATGCAGGCCCAAGGGACGAAAGCAGGGAATTTGTATGGGTTAAGCATTCTGAGGCAGTCAATTTAGGAAAAACTACGTATTCATCTGTAATGTCAGTAAATGTAGTCCTTGGGCTGGCGATTGCTACCAAAAATGTATTTTAACGAGAGGACATGTTAGAATAGGCTGTGTTAGTAGGATTTACTGATACATTAATGTCCTGCAGCGGAAATTCAAGGAGAAACACCGAGAAGAGGCCCACAGGAAGCGTCAGGAGGAACGCGAGGACCGTGTCGACACTATCTCCCCATACCTGCCACTCCTGCTGGTGAGATACACGCACATAATCACTCTCTAATAACACCATTTTCTAGTGAGCATCATTCACTCCCATTCACCTCTACCACTGGCTAATGACAACACATATCTACTAACTGCTGGTAAGATACACTCAACCAACATTCACTATCATCAGTTGTTGGCAAGTTACCACCACCACTGGCTGGTGACAACAACAACCATTCACTACCACAGCTTGCTGGTGTGTGACACCAATTACCACTCAATGCCACCATCCAATAGTGTCATCCTGATAAAAAAATATCTTTCTCACATACACACTACATTAATGCACATGGCAACTATATATACACAACACTAGTGTCCTTGGTGACTATACACACATACACACAACACTAGTGTACACAATACAGTATTAATAGTTGCCACTCATGTTTGAGGCTGGAAAATTTCATTCCTGTTGTTAGAAATGTTGTGAACTAAGGCATAATGTCAACTCTCATGCTACATTCTTGTTTAATGTAAGTAAAATAAGAGAGTTTCTGGTGTTTTAGATATTAACCTTTGAATACTTTACTGATTACTCAAGAATTGCTGTGACTTGCAAACTAACTTTACTAATCTGTTGTATGCTCTTCGGTAAAAAAAATTATCATTTGTATATTTATTTAAATCATTGTAAAGAGTATAGCATGGCAGATATTTATGTTTGCAGGATGACAGTGAGAGAGACATAGGAGAAATGGTGAGAGAGAGGTGTCTACAAGACCTACGGGAGCGCCTCGCCCTCAGAGCCAACCTCTTGCAAGACAGACTTGATCAGGTACTCTTCTACCCCCCCTCCATCCTTGACCATTTTTTCAAAGTTACTTATTTCGAGTTACAGTAGTGTGGTAAATGTATATAAAAATGTACATCAGCACCTGTTTTTCTAATCAGTTTCAATACAATAACTCAGGAAAAAATATTCTTTAATTACTCAAAAGATGCATCAGTACTTGTGGATGAATGAACACCACAGGATGTAAAGATCAAGGCAAGTGTAAGGATTACAGGATTTATGAAGATCATGGGCACAAAAAATTAAGTTCAGGGCTGTGTGAAAATAATACGATAAATAAAGGTCATAGGTTGTGTGAAGATAATTGGTTATTTGATGATAATGAGATGTGTGAAGATTACAGGACACTGGAAGATTATGAGTTACATAAAGATGCTGAGGTGTATGAAGATCACAGACTGAAAATCATGGAGTCTGCAAAAGTCATGAAGTGTGGGAAGATCACATGATATAAAGATAAATGGGTGCAAAAAGATCAGGTATTGTGTGAAGATCAGAGGGTGTATGAAGATTTAAGGTGCCTACAAAGATCATGGGGTAGTGAAGACCATAAAATTTGTGAACCTAATGCATGGGGTGTATGCAGATCACTAGGTGGTAAAAAATAAATAAATACGTAAATAAATAAAATTACGGGGATTAGCCCACCCGGGCACAGGTCACTGACCCACATCGGGGCCTGGTTGGTGATAATGTAATAATATTAATAATGATAATGCTAATAATAATAATAATAGTAATAAAGAACCATAAAGAAATGCAAAAATGAAAAAAAAATCAAGAATAAGAAACAATGTACCTGTATGTATGTTGTGTTGTCAATAGTAAGAGAAACAATTGAGATCCTGCAATTATGTGTAAATGAGGCAGAAAGTCAGATCAGCAACCTGGGACTTGGTCACAATTTTTGTGATGCCATATGTTCTTTGACTTTTCCATTTTTTATTCACGGTTTCTGTGCTGGTTCATATTTATTTACTAAAGTGGTTAATGTTTTAAAGCAAATTCTATTGAAATATGAATGGCAAATGAACAAAAATGAATAGAGGGACTTAAATGAGGTAGGTTAGGGAAAGGTACTTTGAAAATGCATGTTTTATTTCCGTACTATGTACTATTAACCGACCTTTT